AGATTAGTTGTAGGTGGAGTTTTGCCTACTACTTTGTGGTGTTCCGCTGCTAGAGTTGCTATCACTGGGCGTCGCTGGTTCCAGGCTGAGCTGGGCGCGGAGCGTCATGATCCATTCGTGCTGGAGCAGCTCGACCGCACTGGCTCGCTTGTTCGGGTCGCGGTCGAAACACTTCTTGAGGAAGTCGATACCGGTGTCGCTGAGTTGCTCCTTGGATGGTAGTTGCGGTGGGTCACCCTGGGCAATGTGGTACATGATGGCCCATTCGTTGTCCATGGAAGCCCAAGGGCGGCGACCCGTAGCCATCTCTAGGATCACGCAGCCCAGTGACCAGATATCGACAGCGCCATGGCGACCTGTGCTTCCACCTCGAATGACTTCAGGGGACATGTACATCGGGGTTCCGGTCATAGAGCGTTGGCGGCCCTGGCGTGTAGCGTTGTGTTCTGCGGCGAGGGTTCGACCTTGGCGAGCGATGAGTTTGGCGGCGCCGAAGTCGACGAACTTGATGACTCCGTTGTGGTCGAGCAAGATGTCTGGGTTTGGTTAGCAAGGGTGAATCATGATAGGATCAGGAGCAAACTTACTCTCGGGCTTGATGTCGCGATGCACAACACCGGCGTCGTGTAGGTAGGCGAGACCCTCCAACATCTGAAGCGCGTAAACCATTATGACGGTCTCGTCTTCGATACGTCCATGCTCAAGCAGTCCGGCAAGCGAGCCACCAGAGCAGTATTCCATGAAGATGTACACCTTGTCGCGATGTGGTTCGATACCGTAGTAAGACACAATATTGGGATGATCGAGCACTTGAAGAACACCCATCTCGTCTCTGATCTGAGCTACAATCGTAGGAATGAGCTGTGGATCTTGGAGACGAATTTCCTTGACTGCCATAAGGTGGTTGGAGTCGAGGTTCATAGCCGCATAGACGGATCCGAATGTACCTCCACCGACGAACTGGCCCTGTTGCCATCGGAGTGTGACGTTTGTTGCAGACGAAGACAGGTAGGTCAGGGCTCGATCGGCTTCATTAGAGTCCTCCAGCACCCTACCAAGAGCTTGGCGTTCGGCTTCCTTGTCTTTGCGGAAGGTGTCGATTTCTTCGAGCCTTTGCATCCACTGTTGTTGAGTCATCTCAATAGACTCGTCGTCATCCTTTGCGTTCTTCGGGTCGAGCAGGCTCTTTCCGGCAATAGCGTTGAGGCGTTGTCGCTCGGCCTGAGCTGCGATGGTTGACCTCGCGCCCATGATGTCGAAGTGGGAGATAAGGACGGACATGCAGCCAGCTACCTTCAGTCGCAGCTGTGAGTATTCCTCGTCGCTGATGGAGAGAATGTTCTGCCCGCGGGTCATCATCATGGCAAACTCTAGAGCAACCACAGCCCATCGGAATGTCTTTCGGTCCGAAGCAATGCAGTCGTCGCAGATGAAACTGACCCAGTCAAGTGCCAGCCTGGTTAGCTTGATGTTGTTCATTGCCCTCCGGTTGTAGTCCATGTAGAGGACGGAACGTTGACCGAATTCTGTCGCGAAAGCGAAACAAGTCTGGATGAGATCCTGGCAGTCGAGGCCCACTGTTTGCCTGCGAACAATCTCGACACTGTCCATGATGGTGTTGGACAGCTTGTACGCCGTCTTCTTGATCTTCTGCAGTTCTGCGTTGACACGGGGAAGATTGGCGCGCTGATCGATCAGGGTGGTGAGCTCCATGCCTATCGACGAAAGGAATGACAGATTCGCGTTGGCGAGGCGTTGTTGCGAGCCATCCGCGACGAGCCTCAACCGACCAGGCTTGAGGTCGAGATGGGGCTCGATGATGTTGGCTGACATCTTTTTGCCGGGCCAGTACAGGGGCTGTTCTGGTCGGATAATCAAAACGTATGGGTTGGAGGGGTCCTCTGGAGCTTCTTCTGCGTGGTAGCAGGTTGTAAGAAGCGACTGGATGTCGTTCGGTCGGTCGAGTGCCGTCGGTGATGCAACGATGTATATGCCAGTGTTGTTTCCTCCAGTGGTCTCGACGAGGAAATGGCCAGTGGCGACGAGAGCTTCGTACAGTTCCTGGAGCTGCTCCTCGTCTAGGTCGATGTTGTTGATATTGAACTCGGTGCAGTTCTCGAAGCGCTGCGTGAGAATCCTGGAGAAACGGAACAGCTTACGCTGTCGGACACGGACAGAATCGAGGATCTGCTTGTATCGCTTTTCCATCTCAGAACCCGTGAGCTCGTCCGGCCGACGCTGCAGCTCTCGCTCAAAGTGAGCGCTGAGACGAGTGAGCGACTTGGATGTGAGCACACTGAACTGTTCCGCAGTCTCGACGTCGCCGCCCTGGAGCTGTCGACCGAGCTTGTTGCAAAAGTCCCACTCCTGTTCGAGGATTTCGGCCTCCTTGAAGGTGTTCTTGTTGGCGGCCAACTTCCAGTTCAGCATCTTGAAGTAGAACTTGAGCGCGTCTAGCACGACCGTGTCGAAGTTCTCCTCAATGCACGGAGGCAGATCCCAGCCAGGCTCCGGCCGGGAGATGACCATGTAGCTCTCCTTGACCTGGCCAGCCATGGCCAGCAGGATCTGGAACTGCGCAATCATCTGCTCGGCCATCATGACGCCTTGTTGTGACGGGTCCTTGATCTTCTTGGCGTACGAGAGGCGGACGCGGATGATCTCCTGGAGGAGACGCGAGGGGAAGTTGATGAGAGTCAGCAGCTCTTCGATGTAGGGCGGAAGATGTCTCTCGGCAAAGCCTTCGGCGTTGGCGATGAGGGTGGCCTTGGCCTTCTGGATGACCTTCTCGAGCGGGGCCAGCAGGTTGGTGTCGCCCTGCAGGGACTTGAGGCCATCCTCCTTGAGTATCCGGTCAATAAACGAAGAGTCGTCGGTGAGATGGTGGTCCTGGGACGAGCGCGGGCGGGGCTTGGTGAAGTCGAGCTCCTCGTTGCCGACCCATTTCTTAAGGATGGACATTTCGGTGTTGATGAGGGCGATGGTGTTGTGCCAGGCAATGACGGCGTCGCAGGCGTCCTTGTAGGGCTGCGAGGCGGCGCGGGGATAGGCAGCCTCGAGGGCCTGGCGCGTGGGGTAGACGCTCTCGACCTTTTCGATCTTCTTGACAATGTCCTCGACCTGCTGGGCGGCTGTCTGGCCCGCCTCGGCCTCGCCGCCGACTTCGAACGAGATGATGCTCTCGAGATTGGCGCGGATCTTGCTGCGGGTGTCGTCGACGATGCGGCGCTGGGCCTGCAGCGAGCGGCCGCAGACCTTGGCGCGGATGCCCATCCAGATCTCGGCCTTCATGGTGCTGTCGCCCTGCTGCTCGGTGCTACCGATGAGGCGCTTCTTCTCCTGCTTGACGACATCACCCGTGAGGACGCTGGCGAGCATGCTGTGCCACTCGAGGCGCTCGCGGTTGGCGGGGATCTTGAGCTCCTCGATCGAGGGCTGCATGTCGTCGTTGCCATAGTAGAGCAGCGTCTCCTGGTCGTAGGGGTCGTTCTCGACATACTCAGCGGTCGAGGGCGACTCGTCGTCCGTCTCGGAGTCGGTGCTGTAGCCCAGGCTCGGGGTGCGCAGGGCCGGGTCGAAGAAGTCGTCCTGCTGGTCCTCCTGGCGGATGCGCTGGACGTAGGCCTTTTCCTGGGCGCGGTACTCGGCGTTGGGGTTGCGGCGGCTGCGCGTGGCCGAGTTGTTGCGCGGGCGGTGGGCGGACGAGTTCAGCGAGAACTGCTGGGGGCGGCGGGCGGGTGCGTATGCGCTGCTGATGGTGCGGCCAGGTGTTGGGCGGGCGGCTCTGGTGGTCGACGTGGGCGCGCTGCCCCCGTTGGGCGTCTGCGGCGGCAGGTCCGTCATGATGGCAGGCCCGCGAGAGCGCGAGGAGCTGGCGTTGCTGTTCCACGAGTACTGGGGCTCGCGCAGAGGCGCCACTTGGTCGCGGCTGCTGGTGGTCGTCGAGGGCTCGCCGGGCGACGTCGTCTCGTCCATCGAGTCGCCAGACGACCCCGAGGCGCTGCTCGTCAAGCCCGGGCGTTCGGGCGCATTGACTACGACGGGCTTGGTCGCGTCCGCCATGGCCATGTTGTTCAGCAGGACGTTGTGGGGAGCGGCTCTCGAAAAACGCACGCTGCCATGCCCGCTCATGTTGACGACGACGGCCGCCTTTGCCGTTGTGGGTAAGGATCAGCGCCGAAACAGGTTCGCGGGATGTTGTGGCGGTGCAGCACAGACAGGTGGTGAGATGAGAAGAACAGCTGGATTGGTGACATTCACTGCACTCCTAATACTCACTGCACTACCCAACACTGCCTGGTAGCACCTTCACTGGTTCACAGGTAGCTTCCGCGCCTTCCACCCGGCTCGCAAACTCCCTAGCCTCTCACCTCTTAGCCTCCCAACTCTTTGCCATCCAAGACAGCAGCAATCTTGGAACTGCCATACAGCCTCCAGTCGCCACAAGCTCCGCGCTAGTACGCCTAGCGCCATCCTTCCCTCATCCACATCCTCGAGGCTACCCCAGCGACCTCACCACCAATCTCGCTGCAGACCCAAATCGGCTGTCGCTCCCGGGAGATCGATGCTTCCAGCTTCGGCCATCAGGGTCCATTCGGTGCCTTCGCCATTTTAAACTCACGATGTTTCCATTGCCGCGACCGCGTTCCCCTAGCACGTGTCTAGACTCCGCGACATGACTACGGCATTATGTATAGCCGTTGGGATCGGCCACCTGCATCGCGTCGAGTATGACGCAGCATCAACGTCTGCTGTTTCACCAAACTGCTCGACAAAGCAATGCGTATTTGCTTACGTCGGAACAGCACACGCCTTCGCAGGCGCACCCATGCCAATGAACAATGCTCAATGCTCACAAAAGAAATATGCATCACCACAGCGCGTTCGATGATGACGTCAACCACGCGTTCCACACATCTGGGAAATCACTCATCTCCGTCGAAGTTGTTTGAACAAATAATATTATCGTCCATCCTATAGGACTATTCCACTGCACACCCCTAGATATCCTTCCTGGCCAGCTTGCTCTTCTGTCTGATCTGCTTGCCCCACTTGTAAAGCACAAATGGAATCGGGATAAAGGCAATACCCAAGAAACCCAACAAACTACTCGCCCAGTTTATGCCCAACTTTTGGTACATGGCATTGGCGAACAGGGGAAATCCCGCACCGAATGACGACCTCATCAAGTCGTTGCCTGCCAATACACTAGCCACGGAGTCGGGGTAGGCATCTGACAGGTAAGGTAGGACGGCCTGGAAGAGCGTGAAGGCAGCGATACCGAAGCATCCAGATCCGATAATGGGCACAATCCAGTGCACATCCGACCGCGAAGTCCATCCAAACCAGAAGAGACAGATGGGCACGAAGAAGCAGCCAACCATGGCAGGAATCAGACGCTTCTCTGGCGCGATGTTGCCATCATCGTCGAACTGCTTCTCGAGGTAATAGTAGTTCCACGCGAAGAGCACGATGACGGCGATGAATGTACCAACGAGAATACCCAAGAACGCAACACCCTCAAGGCCGAGGTTGAAACCGTAGAGTCCTGAGAACACAAGAGGGAACGACTCGAACCAGATGTAGAGTAGACCGTAGATGAGTGCGATGTACAAGTTCAACAGGAATACGATTGGTTCCTTGAACATGAGGGTGATGGGCTTGAGAAGACTCATGTTGAGAACCTGAGGGGGTGTTAGCAGTGATTGGGTCTAATGGAAGAGGTGCAACATACGTCCTTTCCTGACATCTCAGCAGACATGATGTCCGGCTCGCAAGTAAGACGGTCGTCGCCAGTCAGCTTCTTGAGCCTGCGCGTCCTGCGGTGCAAGATATTGGGCGCGCTTGTCTCCGGGAGGAGGAAGAAGAGGAAGACCCAGCAGAAGCCCGAAAGCCACATGATCTCCCACATGGTCCACCTCCAACCTTCGGCCATGACGGCGAAGCCGCCCACAAGGGGACCAAGAACAGGGCCGCAGACAGCGCCAATTCCCCAGACTGCGAGACCGTACACTTGTTTCTTGGGTCGGTACATGTCGGCGATGGAGGCTCCTCCTGTTGCGAGCGCTGGCGAACCAAAGAATCCAGTCAGGAATCGGAAAGCGAGTAGCATGCCGAAGTTGACAGAGAGAGCAGTGGGGATCTGGAGAAGGACGAAGATGACTATTCGCGTCGGTTAGCATATCGTCTCGTTGCGAACGAACGGCTGCACTTACGAAGGGTAATAATGTAAACCCAGAGACGACCAATCTGCGGAATCTCGCTCATGGGTGACCATAGAAGAGGCCCAAGACCGTATCCAGCAACGTACAGCGTCAATCCCAAGGTCGCGGGCACCTGAGCAACGCCAAACTCTGCCATCACGCCCATGAGACCCGGCGTGTAAATGGCTGAACCGATGTATACCGAAAAGGTGAGGAAGCAAATCTCAAAGGTGACGAAGTACCTCTTTCCTCGCGACCAATTCTTTGGGTTCTACAGAGTCGTCAGTACGACCCAAAGACGTGAGCATGGAGCAAACATACCTGAGCATCATCCGGACCATACCAGTCAATGACATGAAGGTCCTTGCCCTTCTCAGGATCGATCCTCAAGCCACTGGCCTCGTTGACACCATTGCCCACGGTACGCGACGAAGTCTCCGAATCGCGTCCCTCCCGGTTTCTCACGCCATGTGTCTGGGCGAGCTCATCGATCTCGTCCTTGTTCTCCGGCGCCTGCGTAGATCCATGATAGGCGGCATACCCAGACTTTTCGTGGCTGACATACTTCTTCCAGATCTCCGGATCCTTCTCTTCAGGATATTGAAGGTATTTGTTGCGCGTCACAAGACGGACGATATGGCCAAAAGCCGAGTCGCGGATGAGATCAAACATGATGCTCACTCACGGGAAATGTGTTGGACAGAGCAGAGCAAGGTGGGCTTGGAATAGAAAAAGACACAACTACCCTCACCGAAGCCGTGGCATCTCATGCTTAAGTCCACTACACACCCGTGACATCATCATCCCCATCACGCCCACCAGCTCGATCTAAGAAACCCTAAGGAAGCTTATCCGTCCGCCAGGCGCCGCAAAGGGCACCCACGGCCTCCGAAAACACCCCTTGTAGTCACAACTGCCAAGGAATTCCGGCTCGAAAAGCTTAGCTTGACACAAGATCTGGACTGGTGATGGCATTTGTGCGCGAGGCTATCGAAAAGTCCATGACGCGCCGCATCGTTGAGATCGGCGCCAGGGCACTCAGATCGCGCGCACACACACGCGAAGGAGATCTGGCGTTTTACCTAATTCGCTCGGAAGGCTGCGGATGGACTACGCGTGGTGTATTTGTGATGGGGAGAATGCGCTGGCGGACGGGCGAATGACGTGCCGGGTGAAAAATGTTTATCTATCATTTAGGTTTTGTTGTTGATGTTCTGGACTGGATGTCGATGTGATGACGTCGTGAGTGAAGAGGTTGCGCGTGGCTGGATTGGGCGAGTCGTGCGCGCTACTGGTCATGACTCGTCGACATGTGCGATCGGAAAACCCGTGGACTCCGGGACGTAGACTTGATGTCTCACTTACTAGGGCGCAACATCGAAATTGCATCAGAGTAGAAATGCATGAGCGTTACAATGAGTGACAAGCCCAGTGAAGCAAGTAAGCAAAGCAGAGCACTTACGCCGTTAGTAGTCACCTCAATACCTATCTACTTTCATCCCCATCTCAGCCCTTATGTCAAATTCCCTAATCTTCTCCCTCTGCGCATCATCACACACCATTTCCCTTTCCGTATTCACCCAGTCCTGCCACGATCCAAACGTGTCCAACCTCTCCTTGACACTAAGCCCATCATCTCGGGTCCTCACCTCCATATCAGCGCCTGCCTGTCTCAGCACTGCAAAAGCCTTGACCCAACACCTCGACACAGCGTAATGCAGTGGTGTCCACCCGTCTTTATCGGCGTGGTTTACATCCGCGCCGTGGTCTATGAGCGCTTGTGCGATGTAGGGATTTGAACACAGACATAGTGGCGTTCGGGCCTTGTTGTCTTCACAGCTTGGTGAGACGCCTTTGGATAAGAGGACTTTAGTAGCTTCAAGATTGTGAAACTCGGATGCGAGATGCAGTGGTTTGCGGCCACTGCCATCGCGAGCTATGATATCGGTGTCTGCATGCTTGAGCAGGTCCAGTGATGGACTACTTTCCCTGTCTGCACAGCGATCCATGTGTAGGGGTCGTTTGAGCGCGATGTGAAGAGGGCGGTCGCCGGTGTTTCCGCAGATGACGTTTGGGTCTGCGCCGTAGGAGAGCAAGGTGAGAACGACGGTGGGGGTATCTGCCATGCATGCAAGAGCTAGGGGTGTATATCCCCCATGATCTTCTATATTAATAATGTCTTTGCAGAGAAACTTTAACATGACGTCCACAACACGTTTCATACTGGCCTGTGCTGCGTAATGCAAGGCAAATCGTCCTTTGTCAGTCGTGCGTGGTCGGACAGAGGCACCTTTCCCCAGTAAGAAAACAGCTGCGTCTTTATGACCTTCCACTATGGCTGCGATCAATGGGGTGTAGCTTGCATCGTCTACAGCGTTGATGTTCAGTGGCTCTTCATCGGCGAGATCCAGATCAAGGAGAAACCTGAGCACTTTGACTTGCCCACACGCAGCGGCGATTTGCAAGGCTCCCTGCCCCTTCTTGTTGACAGCACATACGTCTGCGCAGCGTGTAACCAGAAAGTTAACCAGCTCCACATTCATGCCGCACGCAATGAGCAGAGGTGACATGCCGTCGCTGTTCTTCGCGTTGATGTCGGCGCCTTTGCGTCTCAATGCATCGATGAGCTCATTCTGGTTGCAGTGGACAGCGACGTGCAACAACGTAGACCCGTCGTCAGCCTTGTCGTCGTTCAAGTCAGATATGGAATCCAGCATCCGGAACGCTAGGCTTTTGGCAATCTCGGCACTCCCACCATCGAACGCGCTTACTACACTCTGAAAGGCACTAGATTGAGCGTCTGGTCCTTTCATCACCTTACATCGACCACTCGCTAACAGAAGATCGACGACAGCCATTTTCTCTGGGCAACCGTTTACGAATCCCAAGATGGCACGATGTAGTGGCGTGACCCTTGATGCTATGGTGGGATTTTGCGAGAGCTTAGCCGGGTCAGCACCAGCTTTGAGAAGGACTTCGACCAGTTCCAGGTTGCAAAATAGCCCGCCGACTGCGACGTGGAGTGGTGTGTAGCCCATGAACCCGAAGATATTTGGATCGGCTCCTAGTCTGAGTAGCTCTGCAGTTATACCGACATCCTTGTTGGCTAGTGCAGCATATAGCATATTGCGGATGGCTTTTGGCCTGACGAGCTCTCCGCCTGAATCCAAGATCCATTTGATCCAACCCAGGTTCTTACCGCCGGCTGAATGAGAGATCTGTTGGTACATGATAGAAATGGCCTGCATCACTGGTACCAGTTCTACCTTGGATTGCGCAGTGGCCATTTGGAGTGCGACGCTATCCTTTGGGTAGTCGGGTCCACCAATGGCTTCTAACAGGATCTTGGCTGTAGCGACATGGCCTTTCGTCAAGGTCATACCGAGGATCGTGTCACCATCTGCCCATTCAACTTCGAAATCTGGTTTGTAATCTGCTCCGTGCGATAGCAGGACCCGTAGTACCTCTGCATGTCCCTGTAATGCAGCAAACATTGCCGGGGTAAAGGATTCTGGATCCAGACTGAGTGCATTGATGTCTGCACCGCTCTCGATCAGTAGTTGTACAGCTTCCAAGCGGCCATTCATGCTGGCGAGTGATAAGGCGGCTGCTGATATCAGTTGCTGTTCAATAAGTCGCGAAGGCTACATCAACTTACTGAGACCCTCCACACTACGGTCGTCCACCATCGCTCCTACCTCCAACAAGTAACGAACGACTTCGTGATGTCCATACTCCGCCGCCCACATTAGAACAGTGCAACTATTCTCACTTTTCTCGTGCAGATCTGCTCCTTTGGCGAGAAGTAGTCTGACGATTGCAAGATGTCCATGTTTTGCGGCCAGTATTAAAGGCGTCCTCTCATCCGCGCAGGTCTTGCTAATTTCTACTCCCTTGCCGATTAGGAAATCAGCCCCATTTATCATGCCGTTCGATGCAGCATAATGTAACGCGTTAATATCCTCTGTCCCAACAGCTTCCAAGCTGGCGCCATGGTCGAGGAGAAGCTGGATGATCTGGGGTGCTCGATCTTTTTGCATAACGGCGTGGTGGATCGGAGGAAAGCCGTCGAACGGACGGGTCACATCCGCGCCTCTTTCTAGCAAGAGCGTTATGATGGCGATGTCTTGCTTCCAAATGGCGAGGATTAATGGTGATTCTCCCTCGTCTGTTCCACGTTCTACATTTGCACCGTCGTCCAGCATCTTCTTCACGCCATCTAAGTCCCCGCCTTTGATCGCATCGTGGAACTCATCGTAATCCCATAACCAAGGTCGGCTTTCCCTGGATTCATTCATTCCTCCGTTGCGCTCTGTTTCCTCTGTCACCGCTAAAGCCGGTACGGGGGTGCCATCTTGTGATCCGGGGATGCTTAGAACATCGAGGTCGTGCTCAACTATTTCAAATCCGTCATCAGACGAGCGCGAACTTTTGTGCGCAGCGTCAGCCCTCGATGATGGTGTTGTCGCGCTCATGTTCGGTATGGAAGGCACGTTTCGAATTAGTGTAAAGACCTCGAGCGTCGTCCGACCGGAAAAGTCGATATTCCAACAGCCGCGCGAACTGCTCCTGTAAAGAGTGTAGAATTTATGAGTCGAGGTGCGACGTTATCGCTGTGCTTGTATGATCTGGCGGCATTATGACTTCAAAGCTGAACTTATCAGCTGCTAGGCAACACTGCCCATCGGGCGCAAGGCAAGAAGCGTGGCCGCGCTAATGCTGCACAGTCAGATTGGTCAAGCAGTCTGGCGGGCGCAAGAGAGGGGTAGTGTGGCGCATGGCATGCAGTGCAGTAAACTTCATAATTTTTTATTTTGAAATATCATCCATCTGAACGCACGATACCTGGGTCCCTATGTTGATCGATCGGTTTAGGCACGCTTGCTGAGAACGGACTAGTCGTCCTTCTCCAGCCATTGTTTACACGCCTCGTAAACCTTGGGGAAGGCGTCGTCAAGAGCCAGAAGCTTCTTGAACTTGTCCTCGCTTATGCACTTGACGAAGTGTAGCATCGACACAAAGATAAAGTCGGCATACGAAACTGTTCACGAGTCAGAACATGAGGTCAACATCATCCGGCCAGCGCGTTGTTACTTACCAGTCTGACCCAGGAAGTAAGGTCCACCGTTCTTCCTCAGTAGATCGCCCGCCTCCTTCGCCGGTGCCTTAGCCGCTTCCCAACACTCGTCCGCATTCGCGTCCTTTTCCACTTGTTCGAGCGACTTCCCGAACATCTTCTCTCTCGTCTCGTTGAAGTAATCCGCACTCGGCTTGTTCAGCAGCACGACTGGCACCTGAGGAATGAGGAGCGGTCTCAGTGGACCAGCTATCTTGGCAATATGGTCCCTGATCTGCACAACGATGGGGTCATCGAGATGCAAAGACGGAGTTGGGTGTTGCTTCTCGAGCTCATAGGCAATGGGCCAAGAATCCATCTGATAGGTGCCATTCGAATGCTTGATAGCGGGACTGGTGTACTCTGCGAAATAGCCTGGCGCATCCTTGGGGGTGGGTGGGATGCCGAGGGCTTTGAACTTGGGGGCCAGGTCAGGGTATTCTACCCATTCGGTTGTGTAGTCGATCTTCTTGTAATTCAGCACCATGCGAGCTGCGCGCCTGTCAGAAGGATTAAGACAGCATTTGTGGTGTGGATGAACTCACTCTTCCATGGGTTCAATGACCATGAGGAACCACTCCTGCTAGGCAGATCGTATAGAACGACGTTTGACGAGGACATAATGTTTTGGTCTCGATGATTGATAGTTAACAGCAAGATTGAGATAGACGCGATAAATATGAAGCTTTGAGCTGGTTGACATGACGCCCTTCGTGCCTTCTCCACAGTCATTTGTCATCTAGCGTCAGGTGGGGAGTACCTGAGGCTAGTCGGCAGTCGCTCTCGCGCGCGGGCATCATCGTCAGAGTTACCATCCCCCTGCTCTTGCGACGACGGATATGTCGCATGAGTAGCACAGCACCATCAAGATGCCTCCTACAATTCCGAGGATTGGTGGGTGCCCGCAAAGGTAAAAGCTGACAGTTTGGCAACCGCGGCCGGTTATGTGGGTACTCACTCCGCGACGCTCACAACAGCAACAACCACAACAACGTTGACATCGGCCTAAGCTTATCTCCGCCCTCGAAGAGCTTCCACAACTGTATGGTCGAAGTCAGCTGCATTTTGCGACATACTGCAAGTCCCGAGCGCTGCGCTTCTACCCTCCCGCAGCTGCATCTTAGGCGAATGAGCGTTCCGGCCCCCCATACTTGTTGTTCGTGGCGTACAACCGCTTGGATACTACTGGACTAGAAACGCCTCGATACTTCGCTTGCATTTAACAGCCTATCTAGCTAACAATAGGACTACCGATCGCTACACTCGTTGGTCTAGCGTGAGACTCAGCCTCCAGTTTGGGAAAATCCAGCCTACCAAGGATGAAGAGGGGTGGGCTGATGTAGTTCTCCGAACGCATGCTTCACGATAGGCGCATGGTAAGTCGTTGAAGTACTTTTTGTGCTTCTATTATTACAATTTAGTACTGGTTATCGTCCTTTTGTCGCTGGCAGTTCTCAACTTTGGACTTGCTTCGCCCACGCTGTGCAACGCCAAAGGCTTGCAGATGCGGCTGTTGTGGCCCCCAAACTTTCAGCCCCCAATATGGTCGTCGCGCGGAAACCCGCCCGGGAGACAGCGATAAGAGCGCCATGTGCGCTCCAGAGGATTCTGCATTTTCTCCACTTCAGATAATCACTCTTACTACTTTACCTGGCAAGTCTTGCAGGACTACTGAGGAATCCCTTTCACATACCAGTATACCCGGGGAATGCAACCACAGTGTCGGTACTTTCGCCATCGCTAAAGAATGCGCGTAACGCCTCGCTCGCTCGCTACCTAGTTTGCTATCTTCGCCCAAGACACCTGCAGCCTGCCGTCTGACGGCACACGAGGTTCCAAGCCACGCAAAGTCATCTCTACAGTTGTAGATTTGACAGAGCACAAACACACCACCCCGTCGAACGAAGACAAAAGAATAAGAACCATGGATCGCAACCGCACAGTCAGTGGGGGGCACTCCGACAATGCGCCATTGATCAGCTCCGCCGAACCACTCAGCTACGACAGTGGTGATGTAGCGATGCAGCATGTCGACGACGCATCATACTCGCCATCCAACTCACCAATGCACACACCATCCATGGTCCAGTCTCCAGAGATCATAGAGTCCAAGGGCGGATTCTACGCCAGCGTAGGCAGCCCCAGCTCCACCTTCGATGTTGAAGACGGGACTCATCACCACAAACACCACCACCACGTCAAGCGATTCGACCAAAGAGAGGCACGGAAGACACTCCTCAAGACAGGTGCGATGAAACTCCTCGTAACGCTGTTCTTCAGCGCAGTGATGTGTGTTACACTCAAATGTTGGGAAGGATGGCGCCGCCCCGTCGTTCTCTCCAAGATCGATATCCGAATCTTCAACTCGCTTACTCTCGGTCTCTCGCTGTGTCTGGGTTTGAACATCTTGGCCTCGTTAAAGCACTATGCATCAGTGTTCAGATGGTCATTTCTCACTAGACATTACGTTAGTCTAGAAGTATTCGACCTGATCCTACACCTGAGTTCGCTTGCCAAGGTTACGAAACTGATGATCCTGTCGTCACCTGGCTTCCGGCGTCAGAAATGGCTGCGCAAATTCCGAATGTTCAAGGATGTTAGAGACGATGAGACGAAGTGGATGTGGCTAGCGTGTCTGGCATGGCTGGTTCTCAACATCGGCTCTCAGATCCTAGTGGCACTGCTGAGTCTGTTCTGGCCGATGGAGAACTCGGAGATACCACTCTTGTCATACGGGAATGTAACTGTAGCCGATCTGAACGATTGGTACGTCGACAACCCGCCGCGCGAGATCGACCCCGAGATCAGTCTCATCAACGAGACTTCGCTGGAAGCGGCGTGGATGTACGGCATGGAAGCCATGGCATACCCCGAATTCAATCTTACCGATAATATGGACGACATGATTACCGATCTATCCGGCATACCAGGCACACCCATCTACCGCGGCAACGGCGCGTGGCACTACCGCTTCTTCAACCGCGACCCAGCCCACCAATGGGTCAACTACCTTGCCAGCTCCCGCAACATCACAGCCCACGCATCATGCGAACAACTCGAAGTCAAGGACGGCAAAGTGCACGACGTACCCGACGAATCCCTCTACATCATGGCTCGACACCAAGGCGACGATGACTACGTTAAGTGGGAAGTCACTGAACAAGCCGGCGGCTCCGTAACCTGGATGGCCTCTGTTCCCGAAAACTGCGGGCCAAGATGTACGAACTTCACCGTCATGCAACTCCCCGAGTCGGACAACAAAAAGCACGCGCGCGTGACCGCCGCCTCCCTCTTCCTCTGCAACAACACACTCGGTAACGTAACCGCGATTAACGCCCCCAACGACATCGATCCCCGCGACCCCGCCGACTTCAGGGCAGTCTGGGGCTCCGATATCTTCGCTCGTACAGCTGCTGGTGCCATGGGCTGGACAGGTATACCATGGAACGGTTGGTTCGACCGCCAAACCCG